CCGATGAGGGTTGCCTACGTATCTCACATCCGGTGAGAATCAAACCCGCGTAGTTCGGGCCGGCCATGAATAAAATAAGTAAACTAATTTTAAATTATTATTATTATTTGATTTTGTAAAAGAACTGCTTTAAAAAAAAAGGAAGTATATATATATATATTTTTTTTTATTTTGGATTGATTTTCTTTTTGAAAGAAAGACTTCTAAGAATTCCTTTTCTTTTGATTTGAACTTTGAGAATTTCAAAAGTAAAAGGAAGATATTTTTTTTTTGTTTTTTCTTATTCTAAGAAGAAAGAAAATATTTTTTTTAGAAATTTTACCTTTAATAAAATAAATGCTTTCTAAAAAAAAATATTTTTTTGAATTTTGAATTTTCTTTTCAATTTTTAAAGAAGAAGGAAAATATTTTCGAATTTGTTTTATTTTATTATATATATATATATTTTTTATAATTAAAAAGACTTTCTAAAGAAGTCAATAGTGGAAAATATTTTTGGATGTTTTGTTTTGAAAATTGANTTCTGGAAATATTGCACCCCTAGCAGAAAGAACATTTCTAAATTGGGAATTTGGGATTAGTTCTAGAGTAATGGGCTTGCTTATGACTCTGACCTAAGGGTGAAGGATCCCGGCCCAACATCACACAAAAATCCAGATACGTCCAAGGAGCCCAAAACGCAACAATGTGTGAGATTATTGTTCCAAATGAACTAAATTGAAAGGGAGATTTGCACAAATAGGACACTTCTGGTGCTATTATTGAATTTTTGACCCCTATTGATTCATGAGCATAACTTTAATTTTAACTGTCAAAATAGGATACTTTTGACCTTAATGGCGGTTTCGTTGGAAAGAAGTTATCCCAAGATTAATTATCCCGAGATTAGTTAATTCGGATTAGTTATTCCACCTTTCTATGGAGATTAAAAAATACTACAATTCCGGAAGACATAATCCCAAGATTAATTATACTGTAATTTTCTCCCAACCAAACATAGAATAAATTCTTCTTAAATTTAATCCCGAGATTAATTATTCTTTATTACTCGTACCAAACGAGCCCTAAGTATTTACCGGACAAGCAAGAGTCGAAAAAGTCAAGAGCATCCATTTTCAATATCGTTATTTGTAATTTGCTGGAATTGAAAGTAGTTGGTTGTTGAGACCATTTCTAAGTTCCTACTAAGACAAAGTACGAAAATAGAATCCCATGAGAATTCTTAGATTAGTCTGTAACATTTAAAGTCAACAGGTAACTGTCGCTGTCAGGATGAAAAATTAGGAAATCATTGTGGACTTTCCAATGGTTTTCATTGCTATTGGTCTTAGGCAGAAAAAGTCGTTGTTTGTGACTTCCTGTGAAGTAAGTGTAAGATGATTTATCTATCTATAAGTGAAGTATACAATCCTAAAAATACCAAGTGTCAATCAATTTTATTCTTTTGATAATTTCTTATGTTTTTGTTCAGTTCAAACAATTCGACAGATAAATGGGGAAAAAGCAAGTAATGGTGCCGGTTAATGAAGTAGACCTCACCGTAGTGAAATATGTGCCGGAAAAATTTGAAGGTTTGCTTTTCATCTTTTTCTTCATTTTCGTCCCTTAAATAGAGTTTCTTGGTTATGATCAAAGTGTCATTTTGCAGCTCCACATTTGACTGGTTTTTGGTTCAAGTTGTTTGTTAAAGTAATGGAGGCACCCTTAATTACCAGTCACCTGAAGCAGAAGAATGGAATGACTGAGGTTTGTTTGTATGCACACTTGTGATTCTATGTATGAAAGGGAGATTTAGATATTAAAATTGATGTTTTTGATTGTCAGATTCTCAAGAAAACCGTGATCCCGGAGGTGCCCATGTTCATTCCCTAGTTCCCTCTTCAAGGTTCAGTATTAAGCTCTTGCTTATCTCTCAATTAGTTTATTCATATTGTATGTTTTAGTTCTAGGGCACAATGGACTAAAAACATCTATATAGGTAATATCAATTAGTTAGGATTAAGTTTTACTCATGCTAGTACATTTGCTTCGGGTCTTGTTAGAGATTTATATATTGGTAGAAAATGGAGATAACTTCCAGTGCTAGTGCTTTCTAATAATATTAGACTGAGACGGGCTCAAAATGGAGTGACATGGACACGGAAGATTTATATAGCTGATCTCAACTTGCTTGCGATTGACACTTAATTCTTGTTGTATGTTGTATGTTGTATGTTTAGTATACATCAATGTTTTCTCTTGGAGTAGGAAGATACCTTTTCCCTTAAATATGTCATTTCATTGAGATGGCACTGCTTAACTATCTTTTTGTGCTGCTTGTTATCTCTCTTCTTTGTTTCTATTAGTTGGTGAATCGTATAAATTTCTTGCCAGCAAAAGTTCATGAGCTAATAGTTATCCTATATATCTGAGGCTAAGCTTTTTACCAGTTAGATTTCACTCCTTGAGCATGACATTATTGCTGATAAACTAATGCTCAGCTGATTTTCTGACATGTAGCTGGAAAGAAGCATAACACTGTGGGCATTCCATGATTTTGTTGAAGTTGGAATTCAGGAATTATTAAGGTGCTTTTCTAATGTTACTGACTTATTTAGTATATATATGAGTTTAGATCCAGAGCCTGGTGTTGTTTGCTTAGAAGAAAAAACGGGTTGAAATGTCTTTCACATTATGATCAATGATGTAGCAGTTGGAATTCTGGTTCAGGAGAATTCGTGACTTTCCATTGATTGTTCCTATTTTGGTCATCTTCAAGAATAATAAAAAGCTCTATTGTGCTAAAGGTTGCAGAGCACTTTATCTCAGCAATAGAGATACTTAATGATAAGCAGCCCTCAGGAGGTGGAGGTGACAAGGCAAGCTGCAGCTTCCACTCAGTTTGTTATTAATTTCTTGATGCGCATAAATTGGCTGTTCTGAGAATCTACGCACATGCCATCAAATAAAATATGAAAATTTATATTAATTTCCTGCAAATAAAGCATATCTTGAATTGCTGTGCCAAGTCTGTAGATCTCGTTACTCTCAAGTGTTTTTCTTTTCATCTGTTTTTGTTTTATTCCGATGTGATCATGGAGGAATACCGTTGTCGATCTTGGATGGGATTTTAATTGCAGTCAAGGATGACATTGATTGCTATTCTCATCCTTCAAAGGGTATGTGTTTAACTTCCCATTTCCTCTGCGAATATCTCGGCCATTTTTAGCTGAAAATATTTCCCTGTAAAAAAGAGCAGGTGGTTCTACATGGTTTATGAGGTTCGCCAGGTAAAGGCAGATGCAGTGGCGTTGGAGATAGCATTCTATGTCATGAGTTACCAAGAAGTGTATTAGAAGGGAGTGTATTATTATCCTAAATCAGGATTTATGCCATGTAACAAAATCTCAAGTAGCACCTCTATTACTTGCATGGAATGCATATGTGCATTTTACTTTCAAGGAAAATAGTGGAGGATAAGAAATTCAACTAAACCTACAATTTTTTAAATTGACTAGAAAAACAGCAGAACATATATTTTCTATGCTTTGTCTTCTGCGACAAAAACTAACAAAGATCATTCCCTTTCAACCTCAGATGCTCCCTTAGCGATTGATTGGAGTATGCATCCTCTCAACTATCCTATTCACTGCATCACGGGACATGACTAACGTGTCATGTAGCAAAATACTGTACACATTTAGACCCTGCCAAGGAAAAACGAAGATGAAGGATTAGCTTTTTTGCAGTCATCTAAAGTGATGAACTCGAATAATTTGTGTAGCTTTCCCTATTTTAACCGACCGTACTGCGGGCACAAAAAGCTACATAATTGAGGATTGTGGCAAAAGCAAATTATGCATAACAATATCAAGAAAGTTATAAAAGTCATTTTAACAAAATCGCATCAGTGCAAGCCCAAAGTTCATTGTGGAAACACAAACTTATATGCACACTGATGATGCCTAATATAATTGGAAACTTACAATTGAAGGCAACACGTTGACATAATGTAAATTTTGAGTAGCCAACTTTAGCTTTTCACTGATTGGGCCACCATCCACCAGCAGAAGCTTCTTGGTATTCTCCAATTGGTTGAAATAGTTCACTATGTTTTTTGTTTTGTGCGAAGAAATCTCTAAATCCTCAAAAACCATAAGCTGCATGCAGTGCAATTGACACAACTAAATCAATGAAGTAATGCAAAAGAAGAAAAGCTTAAATCATATTTTGTGAATGAAAGCAGGAGTTACACATTACACAACACAAATAACCATAATATATGCCCCGCTAGAACAAACCAAAACTAGTTAAATATGGAGGCTGATCAAGATTGATTAAAACTGACCAACTCTTGAAGAGCTCACATGAAATTATTGTTCATTGTTCCAAAAATAGGGAGCTTTAAAATCTGAAACTATAAACTAAAGCAGTCGTCTCTGGGAAAACAAATCTCCCAAATCCTGCTAGAACTTGCTCTAAGGAACAAACATAGTACGTCCTCCAACATAAAAAAAGAATCATAAATTGAAATCATTGAACTCCAACAACAAAAAAAAGAAAGAAATGTGGTTGAAATCGAAATTCTTTTGCATATCTAAATACTTTCTAATATGAAGAGCACAAAGTATGCCACACAAAAGAAGCAAGTATTCGTCTCATTGCCCAATATGATCACAGGAAATGATAACCAAGACTTGCAATCTACATCCAAAGTAAGGTGGCATTTGACTGGAAAGCAATAGATCTGGATTTGGTAGAAAAGATAATGGGTTTGATTTCCAAAGATGTAAATTCGGATTTGACTTTTGAGTTTGATTTCCAGAAAAATATGAATAGATTTGGAAAACAATTTTATCTAAGAAATATCAATGAAGCCTTGCTAACTATCGGGTTGCTTTCACTTCTCAAAATTATTTTGTTGCTTTAATTTTGGTAAATATTACAAACAGATTAAATCCAAGTAAACATTTATTTCTATTAAACATATTCTAGGCAACCTCCACTTCCAACCAAGAGGTTGTGAGTTCGAGTCACCCCAAGAGCAAGGTGGGGAGTTCTTGGAGGCAAGGATGCCGAGGGTCTATTGGAAACAGCCTCTCTACATCATGGTAGGGGTAAGGTCTGCGTACACACTACCCTCCCCAGACCCCACTAGTGGGATTATACTGGGTTGTTGTTGTTGTTGTTGTTGTATATTCTAGAATAACCAAAAGGAAAAAGTTCCAAGAGAGAGGAAGGAAATGAGACAGCAAGTTTTGATCTCACGTTGCTGTTTGGTTTCAAAAATGACAACATCTCAACGACTCCTCATTTACTCTTTGAGTTTCTATTTTATTTTGCTTTCTTTTAGAAGTTCCCAAACAAAAAATAATGTGTGCGTGGAAGGGGATGTGGCTTGCCTTCCTTCAGCTGCACGAGCTGATAGTGCAATCTTCAATCCTAGGCGCCGGACCTTCTTATTCAGTTGGATTGCGTGACTTCGTGGCTTTGGACCGTGCATAGTTGCACCACCTCGAAACTGCATTGATCACGAAAACCCATTATAATTTTTCTGAAGCGATATATCAAGTCATCGTAAATTGTTAAGAATTCAAGAAAATCTGAACAAGAAAAAAGGCAAGATAATGTTACCTGAGCACCACGCAGTGTTCCGTGCCTCGCTCGTCCTGTGCCCTTCTGCCTCCACGGTTTTCTACCAGTCCCACTAACTTCACTAATAGTTTTAGTTGAATGGGTTCCCTGCAGCATTCACCAAGAGAAGGTCTACAACACTATTTGAATCCTCTACTGCCTTGGCAAGTAACTATAATTTGCAAAGCTTGTAGAATCAGGGGAACAAGCATAAAGATAGAAAGCAGGTAGGAGAATAGGAGGCCCTGATGATTTAAATGATCCACAGTAGATCACTTTTCGTCTGCAACATTTTTCTTTAGCAAGGCAATTTTTTCAAGGGCATATGAGTTTCTGTGATTTTCATATGCCTCAAAATGTTTATCCTGATTCTCTTCCCCCATACCCCCCTCCAAAAAATCTATTTGTTTCCCACAGAAGCAATTGACATAAAAGATGAAAAATGATAAATGCTCTTAAGCATGGGAAACAGGGTAAAAAAGGAGTAGCTTGCCAATATCTATGCTCTCTATAATTCAAAATTTGGGATTCAAAAAATTCGTGCACATACCTGCTGTCGTTTTGCTAGCTGCCATCTCACAACACGATGAATAATATCTTTCCTAATTGGGACATCAAAAACATCCCCAGCCAAACACATAAAACCTTTGTCTTCATTAAGAAAGTTCATTACTGGAATGACCAGGTCCTGATGGAGCCCTACCACATACAGTAATAAAAAAGATAGTAACAAAAAGTCAGATGATACAGATTCATCCGCTGAGAGTACGTTTTCAGTATATTATAAGGAGACAGACATAATACCAACTCCATTTTGTACAATCAAGATGTGGCGATCATCCTTACAAAGGGCAACATATGAGTCTAGAAAGTGTTCCCACATAGTAGGCGAAATGTAAAGCAAGCAACAAACAGTTTCAACTATTACTACTGTGAGAAAGCACGAAAGAAAAATATATTATTGATATTCTTAACTATGTTACAACGAGCCTTATTTATTAGTATACACAATATATAATATATTCCTATTACATACGGGACTAGGACTAATACATAACATATTCCTATTACATACGGGACTAGGACTAATTATATACATAATCCCCCTCAAGCTGGTGCATATAAATCATATGTACCAAGCTTGGTACATATGTAACTAATACGAGAACTAGTGAGGGACTCGGTAAAAATGTCTGCAAGTTGATCATTCGACTTCACAAACTTTGTAGCAATATCTCCCGAGAGTACCTTTTCTCTGACACTTTGTCAATCTCAACGTATTAAGTTCTCTCATGGAACACTGCATTTTATGCAATATGAATAGCAGCTTGATTATCACACAAGTTTCATCTGGCTAATCTCACCAAATTTTAACCCCTTGAGCAACTGTTTGATCTAAATTAGCTCACATGTTGCAATAGTCATTGCTCGATATTCTGCTTCCACACTAGACCGAGCAACCATATTCTGTTTCTTGCTCTTCAAAGACACCAAATTACCTCCAACTAAGACACAATATCCAGACGTAGAACGTCTATCAGAAGGTGATCTTGCTCAATCAGCATCTGAGTATCCAACGATTTGCTCATGGCCTCATCCTCAAACAATAATTCTTTGCCTAAAGCTGATTTTTTATACCGAAAAATGCGGACAACTACATCCCAATGACTATCACATGGAGAATTCATAAATTGACTCACAACACTCACAGGAAAGGAAATGTCAGGTCTAGTCACTGTGAGGTAATTTAATTTACTAACCAGCCGCCTATATCTTGCGGAATCACTGAACGGATCCCCATGTCCTGGCAGAATGCCTAAGGCATACTTCCGTTGTGAGATCAAAAGACCTGAGCTAGACTGAGCGACTTCAATACCCCACAAAATACTTTAACTTGCACAGACTCTTAGTCTGAAAGTGCGGGAAGAGAGCTTCAACTTAATAATACCATCGGGTCATTGCATATAATAATATTATCGTCAACATAAACGACTAGATAAATACAGAGATTTGAAGCAGAATGCCAATAAAATACAGAGTGATCAGCTTCACTACGAGTCATGCCAAACTCTTGGATAACTATGTTGAACACTTGAACTTACCAAACCAGGTTCGAGGAGACTGCTTTAGACCATAAAGTAACCGGCGCAAGCCACATACAAGGCTATGAGATTAAAAGGATTACCGGGAACATAAAGAACTGAATTCAAAGGTAAAGAAGGAAGTGGACTTGCTTGACCTATTCCAGTTGCCATGGTTTGAGACATGTTGGCCATTGTGACTGTTGGAAAAGATTGAGAATATGAAATAGTAGTGAACAGAGATTAGTTACCATAAATGTGATCAGATGCACCTGAATCAATGACCCAAGAATCGGAGGATGAAGATTGGGAGGCACAAGTCACACTATTACATGTTTGAACATCGGGAGCTATATCTGAAGATGTCTGTTTGCATGCTTTGTACTGAAGGAACTCAATATAATCTAGAAATCATCCAACTATTCATAGTATTGCATCCCATTTCGCTACAACCAATTTCTCAATAACTAAAACTCGTATGGTTAACCTTAGAATGCCAAAGTAGAACAAGTTAAGACGGATACTCTCCTTTTTTTTCTTAGTTAGATGGAGTTGGAAAGGGAAAGACGGCCTCTGGAAATCAAGTTCTTCACTTGAAATAGTGAAAAATGAAGAAGTACCTGGGAAAACACTGTTCAAAACAGGAAAAGCATTGTTCAAGCCGGAAAAAAATTAATGTTGTTAGAATTTGATGATACTTATATAGGTAGGCCCGGAATTGCAGAGGCAACACACTGACCAAAAGAGGCTTTGCCAAAATCTGTCCAGAAATAGACTCACACCGGTGCGTGGACGTCGGAACTTCGCCGGAAAAATTCAACCGGAGGCTAATATACTTCGTGGTGGTGTTGGTTTTTTGCACAACACTGATGGATAATATTCTTCTTGCGGACAAACCTCTTTTTGTCGGAAAAAGGGCTTCCGATTGACTAATATCTATTTCTGGAGTTGCTGGAATTGATGCACAGGGATAAATTTCTCACGGTTGCTTTGATACCATGTGAGAAAGCATGGAAAAAAAATATATTATTGATATTCTTCACTATGTGATGCAAGATAAAGAAGGCCTAGAATTCAAGATTAGGATTTCTTATTCTCTCTTTTAGTAGGATTTTATTTGTAGTTCTAGTCGAACTTTAGTTGGTATTTCATTCCAACTAGAATTCATTTTCCTATTTTAGTTAGAATAGGTTTTTCTTAACTCTATTCTTATTCTAGTTTAATTATGATTAGTTTTCCTTAACCTCATCAATGTTACTCATTGTAAGGCCTATTTAAAGGGCTCAATATGCTGAAAATAAAGATGAGTGATTAGTTTCTTTGAGCATTAGCTTCAAAAACGTAATTGACTCTTTTGTTTCCTTTTCTTTGCTTATTCAACGCTTCTTGCAATCCTGTAGGATTGAGGAGCTTGTGAGTGAGGTTTTTTTCCATCTTATAGTCTTCTAACGTGAATTTGAAGAACGCTTTCGCTAGTTTTGTGAAAAACTTTAGCGGTGTGCTTTTGTTTTTCTCTCTTCTTTGTGCTTGAGACTAGGACTAGGACTAATTATATATAAGTATACACAATACATAACCTACTCTTATTACATATGGGACTAGGACTAATTTTACATATTCACATAACTATCTAACAACTTCTTCGTTACTTCTAAATCTAAAGGGGAATAATATAGCATACTTTACACCAGCAAAGTGGCGATCAACGAAAAAACAAGCATGATAGCTAACTTTGTTTTCATTAAATTCCTTCAGCTTCTAAGCATGGGAATATGAGGAACTATAATTCCACTAAACAATATTTTATAATTTGTTCTGCCAAATAGCTGACCCCAACATGCTTGGGATTGTGGTGTAGCAGCGTTGTATTAGTGCCAAATACTTAAAAATACATAACACTCATTCTCTAGAAAGCTAATAAGGAAAGCTGGAACTTCCCCAAAAACATAAACATGATTGAAGCCAAAGATACATGTTCTGCCAAATGTGGTATCCAATAACATTCTACTTTGTGCTATTCTTTATAAACTAAGGGGGCTCACGAAAATAATACTAGTAGGTCCTACACAAAATGGTTGGAATAGGATTATTCACTCAATATGGCTACTAAATTAAACACTATTTATAATTACAAGATGATTGATCAAATATAATGCTATTACCATGCCGTTAGACGCTTGCCACTCCTTTAGATTAGGTGGAGCATTTTTTTTCCCAGTGAGCAGAATATACAAAGGAATAGATATTATTATCCTATCCTAAAGCTCTCAAAGCACATAGACCAAGTAACTAGATAAAACAAGTTTTTGCTTCCCATACTTGGAGTTTAGAAGCCAGTACTTCAGAGAATTGAGAAGAAGCTAGAATGTTGGTAGAAAAGTTTTCTCAATAAGCGGAGCAGATTGGCATTTATTAGTAGCACGCTCTCAAGCTTGCCAACATATTATGTTCCAGATGTAGACCATAATATAGTGTCGCAGAAAATCAAGTTTAAAGATTGTGTGATTTTTTATGTTAGTTTTATTTTTATGTTTTGTCACCAATTTAAGCATTTATATCTTTTATAAGTGTTAATTTTAGTTTCCAATATCCACATTTTACATCCTTCTTTAAGAATTTCATATTTGCAGGCATTTTTTTGATAATTTCAGAATTCTTGCAGTTCTATACTCCTTAATTATTGCAAAGGAGGGATTGGACTGCTGGAGGTGGACGCCATAGATGGGAGAAAGCTTCTCTATTAATTTTTCTTTCTAGTTTGTTAAGGATAGAAAGCACAGAGTTTCTACATGTACTAGGGCCACAAGAAGATTTAACTTTTCGTGTTGATAAGAGTTGTTTGGAGTTGTGGAAGAATATGAGCATCGAACCCCAAACCTTAATTCAATTGATAGAGTGGCTCAAGATTAACCCTTAAACAACCAATATTGATGGCCAAGTGTATGCTTTAACACAACATCCTCCCGCATATGTAACCTTGCTCTAGGGTTTACAAGTGGATTTTTGAAGACTTGTTTTCCCCCTTTTTTAAGAAGACGGAAGGATGGACCTAAGGTAGAGAGGGAGCAGCTGACGAATAGGCCAAACCTGAGGATGTTATGTTGGGCAAAGAGAGTGAGTAGGTTCAACAGGTTAAAAGATGAGCTTGGAGCAAAGTTAGGGTTTAATGGGCTGAATTGAAAGAGAGAGAGAAGCCCATAGCAAGCCACAGTCGATAGAATAGTATAGAGAAAGGTTGAGAAAATGAGCTTACTAAAATTTGAATCTAATACCATGTCAAAGAATCTGAATATCCAACCCCAAAATCGTGAGGCAATGGGTTGAGTTGTCCACGACATTATAAACCCTTACACAACCAGTGAGAGACAAGTGTGTGCTCTAACAGGAGTGACAATTTAACAGTTGTGAACTTAAAGAAAGAAAAAGAATCATGTGGCTGTGCTTTATGTGCAGAGAGGTAGTGGCGGAAATGACCATTTTCACATTCATTGCGTAGTTTGTGACAATGTTATGGAACTTGCTGCTAAATCTTTTCAGTGTCCACTGGGAATTCCAAGTTTTGTTTAAGACATTGCTTGGGTGTCGGAAGAAGAGAAGGGGAACAGCATGGAAAGGGACTCCCCAGGGAGTTATGTTGACCATATGGAGGGAACAGAACTGAAAAACTTAACTTTCGAATGGAAGGAAAGATCCTTCTGCAAATGAAGCTGATTTGTTTAACTTTTTGTATGCTAATGTTGAACTCACAATACCAAACATGAATGGATGATTGGACCGCTTTTGTGAAAACAAATTTACTTTAGATAGGTTTCATTTTACCTATTCCGCACATGGTTTTCCCCTATTGTAATACAATTCATTTACTTATCAAAAAGAAAGAATACATTTTTGCTTTCCAATCCAACCATGTTCCATGCTTGTAATATACAATAGTAGCAGTAGTTGTTGTTATATCAAGTTCTATGCATTCAAACACAGCCAACATTTCCAAATAAAGCATTCGGCAAGCAGGTTTAAACTATTAACACCTTAATGGTCAGCATATACAACAATGGATAATAAAATTTCTAGCATAAGTGACAGACCACTAGGCAATTAATGAAAATGTCAAAATCCATACCTATCTCACGCTCTGGAGTTGAGACACATTTCTTAGTTAATAGATATGAAGGAAATGAACCGTCACTGGAATCAGGGGTCATGATGGAAGTTGAATATCTTCGACAAGAGAGGAAGAATGATTCGTCCTGCATCGAGAAATTAGAAACAGGTTTACAATACATACTAAACAGGGCTCCCTTTTTTGATAAGCTATTTACATACTTCATCAACCCAGACTTGGATTCCTGTCTCCTTATAACTCAAGGATATCGTGGTACGAGCCTATAGAACAGATTATGTTCAAGTAAGGTCGTATATACTAAACAGGACTCTCATTGATACTACGAGGTTTTCAGTATTTGGTTCATCTTTACTCATATCGAACTCATATTTTTCCAAGCCCAGTAAGATTAAGTATCACCTCTAAGCTAAGAGAACCTCATACAACATCGGTCAGTAAACTTACAAAGAGGCTATTCTAAAGAATATCAATAACATCTCTTTTGAAATAAGTACGCAACAAGGGAAAAAAAGAACTCATAATGACAAGTATTTACCTTTCTGAAGACAGAAGATTCCACACAAGCCACATCAACACCAAGAATATGACCCTTCCCTGCTTCACAAAATTATTAAAGGAAACATAATATGCATCTTAGGATTTTTAGCATAGTGCAAATCGTACTGCACAAATAGGGATAAAAACAATTTTTGTGTGTGTATTAACTTTTGAATCCTCTTGTAGTGGCAAAGGTAATTCAAAAATTTTTGGCACAGCCGCTGCTAAAAAAGACACAGACAGATCCAACATTAAGACAGCAGATATAGGCACACCACTGCCCTCTGCACTAAATATACATTCTTATAACTGCAAAAAAATAAAAAAGATACAATCGTTATATTAATCATGTGCCCATTGTAAACAAAAATATAGTGGGTGAAGTGTGTCTGCGTGTGTGTGAGTGTGTATTACTCTGCATCCATTAAATCTTGGATCCACCTAAAGCTAGATTTTACAATAAAGATTTGATTTTTCAATAGAATCTTGAAAAAACACAAGAGGATTTGTGAAGAAGTGAAAAAGGAATACCATCAGAAGCAGAAAGTGGAGAACCCAAGCGACCAAGTGAATTTAGAGAACGCAAAAGCCTCCTTGAAATGGACAAAGCCATGCTCTAGATTTAGCACAAAGCAAAACGAATTAATTACACATTAATCAGCGAATATTTAAACTTCAGCAGATAGAGAAAAGAGTAAATGGAGTGATTGAGCTTAGAGTTACAAAGGAAAAATCGATATGAGAAAAAGGAGGCATACAGTGAAATGAACTACAATTTGCAAACTCACAAAAGGCAGCTCCCGGTGCGGCTAAACCCCAACTAATCCTATTTTGAAACATTTTTGTGGAAATAAAATATATATTTGGTTGCTAAAGTTGTATATTTTGTTTGTTAACCTCTTCTATTTTCTTCCCCGAAAAAGTTTTTAGTGTATTTTTCTAACTATAGCAACTAGGTCAGCAAGTCAAAAATGAAATGATTACTCAGCATTGTTTACATTAAACTAATTAATCACATATAACTACAACCCAATAAAATTCCACTAGTGGGGTCTGAAAAGGGTAGTGTGTATGCAGACCTTACCCCTACCCCGAGAGGGTAGAGAGGTTGTTTCCGAAAGACTCTCGGTTCAAGAAGACGAAAAGAGATAATATATCAGTACCATCCACAGAAACCAAAGGAATAATAACAGTATCATAAAAATCAGAAAATAAATGAAAACAATAACCAGCAAATAGACGCGGCACTATAAAACAAAAGAGTGAGAACACAACATTAACCACTAGCAGTCTAAGACAAAAATACTATCAGACTAGCCTCACATAGTTACGACCCTACCCTAAAACCCTAATACTCGACCTCCACAGCTTCCTATCAAGGGTCATATCTTCGGAAATTTGAAGTGTCGTCATGTCCTGCCTGATCACCTCTCCCCAATACTTGTTAGGGCGCCCCCGGCCTCTTCTCGTGCCTTCCAAAGCCAGCCGCTCACACCTCCTCACCGGTGTATTTGGGCTTCTTCCGTGTACAAATGCCCGAACCACCGGCGTTGAGATGAGGATGTTGAGATGGATGTGCGGGCACGCCAGGATGGATAAGATTAGGAATGAAGATATTCGGGAAAAGGTGGGTGTGGCCCCTATGGATGACAAGATGCGGGAAGCGAGGCTTAGATGGTTCGGGCACGTGCGAAGGAGAAGCCCAGATGCCCCGGTCAGGTGTGAGCGGTTGGCCTTGGCGGGTTCAAGAAGAGGGAGAGGGCGACCTAAGAAGTATTTGGGAGAAGTGATCAGGCAGGACATGGCGTGGCTTCAGATTTCCGAGGACATGGCCCTTGATATGAAGGTGTGGAGGTCAAGCATTAGGGTATTAGAATAGGAGGTAGCTGATAAGGTTCATCCGTAGGGGAGGCTGGTCTGATAAGGTTGGGTCCTAGGCTGCTACCGATTATTGTTGTATCCACATTATTCTTTCGTTTTTTTAAGTATCGGGCTTTATTCACTTATTTTTGTTGTTATTTCTCATCTATTTTGTGGTTCTTATGTCGTTGTTATTGCTCATATAGTTCTGTTAATGGTACTAACATTTTGTCTCTCTCTTGTCTCTCTTTGTTTTCTTGAGCCAAGGTCTTTCGGAAACAACCTCTCTACCCTCCGGGGGAGGGGTAAGGTCTGCGTACACTCTACCCCCAGATCCCACTTGTGGGAACTCACTGGGTTATTGTTGTTGATGATGATATCTTTAAAAAAGTACTTGGGGCAGAAAAAATGGGTATCTTCGAGTATATGTCTCCGGAAAGAATATCAATGGGTAGACCGACAAAGATACAACTTGTAAAGCAAGTCGAATTGACCAGAAAAAGAAGCAAATGGGCGTGTGGAAGAAGTTAAAAAGGGAAGTTGAAGAAATTAAGAAAAAAACTGATAATAAGCTAGCGGAGATGGAAAAACGATGGAAAAAAATTCCAAATAATTCTTGCAACTCAAAGTAGACAGCCAAATGATGCAAATCAAATCGTAAGTAACTTATTATACTGCTTACTAATATCTTTTTATATTTTCCTTACAAAACTTTATTATTATTAACAAGTAAAGTTTATTTTTTTCAACAAAAACACTTTGATGTACTATTTTCTTATATATTTTTTAATTGTTATTGCAGCTTGTGGAGTAGTGCATGATGGAAGCATCAAGATTGACGGTCGGGGACACAAATAATTATTAATTCTCTTGTAAAAGCTTATTGTTATTTGAATAAAATAATATTCCACTATTTTGAATGATATTGTTGAACATTTATTAAGTTTTTTTAATATTGCATTTATTAAATAATTATAATTGAAGGTACATTTCATGCCAAAAATAGATTCTTGCCTACATTATATGAATTATTGTGGCTAACAGTATTCGAGGAAAAATTTTCAATTAGTAGCTAAGAAAATTTTTAATCGTAGCAAAACATATATACAATTGCCACATAATATGAATATGGCTATACATTTTTATTTTTATAGCAAATGAAGAAAATCTTTTGCAACAATTTTATGCTTTATGGCAAAAAAGTATGAAATTTTAGCTATGTATTTTTGAATTTGTAGCTAAACATGTATATCCATAATTGCCACGTATCACGAACATGGCTACATATTTTTACTTTTCGTAGCAAATAAAGAAAATATTTTGCTATAGTAAGATATATTTCATGGCTAAAAGTATGGATTTTTAGCTACAATAAGAAAATATTGGATTTTTAGCTATAATAAGAAAATATTTGTGGCAAATACTTTAATTCATTGCACTAAATTTTTTATCCGTAGCTGAATACAAAGTACTATTGCTACGAAACTAAGCTATAGAAATAGCCACAAAATTCAAATTTACGTGGCAAACAAATTAAATCTTATGCTAAAATACAACACTTTGTAGCTACAAAATAAAGATAGCTATAAATTTTATTTGTCGTGGCAAAAGAATAAAATTATTGCTATAATCATCTTTTTCGTGGAAAGAATGTATTATTATCACAGGTAGAACTCAGAAAATTTTCATAGCAATAAGTATTAATCCTATGTCATGGATCATGTAAAGTTTGTAGCTAACTTTTAGTTACGCCACTTCTTGCTACGAATGCTACGGGGGGAAAATTGTGGTTACAGTATTTAGCTATGAAAGTTTTTATATTTAGCTACAATATATTTTATAGCTATATATGCATAATGTTGTAGCGAAAGAAATGAAGATAATGCCAGCGTCACTATAATTTTCGTAAACCTTTTTTTACTCATTAATTTTCATTTGAATTCTAGTGCTATAACTCTTTTTCTCCTCAAATTTCTTTCAACTTCAATTTCTAGTCAGTAAATTGTAAAAGATTTTATTGTTGTTATATGAATGTCAATATATGCGTATTTACTAGTCTAATTATATAAATTTCTTTGAAAGTCATGAGAACCAAAAATAAGAATAGTACATCTTAAAATGGTTGACGTGAATTTAATTCTGATGTCTTAGAATTTTCAAAATAACCCAAATTATTCCATTTGTCACATTTTATGTTCAGTGTTTGACTAGACATGAAGTTTAAGAAATAAATAAAAACTTTTCATACACAAACTACCAAAATTGTCCTACTACCAACAATTAAATGAGAAACAACTAGTGAGAATTCTACATGTGTTTTTTCATATTTCTTTATCCACAAATAAAATGGTGAACTTTCATATTAAGAGGATCGCAATAAATCATGTGAATAAAGGTAAAATGAGAATGAATCCAAATGCATAAAGTGACACTTACTTTTTTGGGACAAACTAAAAGAAAGTGTCAGGTAAAATAGAAAGGATGAAAGTATAAGAAAAGTAGTCTATATTTTACTGAGAAGATGGAGGAGTATAATTATAATTAGTTTTCCACTCCAAAGAGCAACAGAGTTAAGTGCAATTTACTAATTAAAATAACACTTAAGTATTATTTAGCAATGGAATGATATGTCCAAAGCAATGAAGCATATGCCAAAAATTATTCGGTCCCATGATGAAATAGTAGAAATATACTAACCAATAGCATGCATTAGGCTCTTATATTTCATGTTACAAAAATATACATTTCTTCTATACTATAACTTTGACCATTTTCATATTATTTTTGGTAGGCAATGGGGTGATAACGTTTTCCTTGGAATATCCAGAAAAGATGAAAATCACTTGCGGCTCTTTTGGCTTAATAGAGAAGTGAGGGGTCAAGTCACAATTAAATTTTATGCACACCATCCATATTTGGTAAACGTAGTTATCGTATTTTGGAAGCTTGTGTTTGATGATGCGTATCTACTTAAATATAAGACGTTCGAATGGGCACACAACTTGAAGATTTCGTTCAGCATTTATCAAGATTTTCTACCTTTTTAAATATAATGGGATTTGTTTAGTGCACGTATTTTAAACAATTGTTTTTTGTGTTGTGGCCCTCTTGATTTTGGAAAATTAAAAGATTAGAAAATGAAAGGTCTTTGGTTTAGCTGAAACTCTGTCATCCAACTACAACTCTATTTTTTATCACTTAAAAGCCACGTAACTTTACCTTTGCAACTTAAAAGTCATTATGGTTAAAAATCTATAAAACATCCTAAGAAAAAGCTAACATTTTTTTTTGATAATGGTAACATAAAAAAAAGCTAACATTAAAAAATTATAACCAACTTGGACTCATTTCCACCTCAACCCGTGTTGACCCATAATCCAAATGGTTTATTAATATTATCGCAATCAGAAGGAGCAGACTTGAACAATTATTTTATGCTTAAAAAAATCTTCCTTTGTTTTCTATATAATAATCTTAATGCCACCAAGCTCCCTGTCACACCTCCCGCGGGATATGGAGTTTTTCCAATTAAAGTTATATTATTCGAAATGGGATTATTTATTTAATTTAGAGTCGCCACTTGGGATAATTATTATGGTGTCCCAAGTCACCGGTTCATTTTAAAATCTCAAATCGAGGAAAATTGACTAGATTTATGGTACGTGAATACAAAAGACCAGGTAAGGAATTCTGTTAACCTGGGAGAAGGTGTGAGGCACTCACGAGTTCCGTGGTTTTAGCACGGTCGCTTAACAATTAATACCTAGCTTAATTATCTAAATTATTACATGTTTAAAACCTATTGTGCATTTTATCTTCTACCGCTTTTAATTAAACATTTAAGCACTTTTTAGTATTTATGGAATTACTTTGAACAAGTTACGATGTCGTACACTTACTATTTTGGTACACATTGCAAACTGCGCCACGTGAAACACACCCGCGATTTACAACATGTTTATTATTATTATTATTATTATTATTTGAAATTGTGATCAAGTCGCGTAAAACACGCACTCGAATTGGGATTTATGTATCATGACTATGCCACGGAACCGTACCCATAGTCACGATGATTTATTAATCGCGCCTAAAGCAAACTACAAATGTTAAAATATTTATTTTACTAAGTTTGAGAGTAATTGTAACAAATCTAGAATTATGGAACTTTATCTTATTTATGGAAAAGGAGTGACTTTGACCATTGTTATCAAATCACTAGTTATACCTTAAAGTTTCATCCTTTTGACATTGTCAACAAAAAGTTACCCACTAGACTAATAAAATGACATGTATTATCAAGAACGTGTTGGGCTATCATAATAACATGCCCAAATTTTATTTAATTCAACCTCGCGTGGGCGTTACCTAACTAGTTACCAGGTCCAAAATAAATGAGAAACAACACCTAACAACTTAGAATGTTCCCGTAAAGTTTATTACGATGCCTATTCACAGATGAACACGATTATGTAATCACCGTCGATACTAGTTCGTGACTGACAAAATTTTGACTACAAACATGAAATCATCACGCTAAGTAAATGATTAACAACAAACTCTTTTGGGGATAGCAAAGTTATTAACCACATTAGCTTAGCAGCACATGTCTTGCAAACAATCAATCCTTCTTCCAACTTTACAACTATCCCCCTAGACTTGGCTGTTTCTCTACACATCTTCATGTGAATTCGTCATCAAATAATTCCAGATTTAATTACCAAACGAATCAGCAGGTCACAGAAGCATGAAAGTGATTTCAGGGGAGATTAATCACGATTACTTTGGATCACAGATTCATACAACTTGAATAAATAAACTTATGTTCATTAGACAGCGAAGCTTTAACTAATTAACGATTAAGTCATCTTATCAGAACAGAGTAATCACAAGACAAACAAAAGACAAATCAGGAAACTAACAAGCTAACGAATGCATCTGCGATTTCATTATAAGAACAAATTCGAAAGTAAAAGTTTAGTGGATACCTGACTGTGCAATAATTAGCTTGGAAAAACCAAAGAGAGGCTGAATGATGAAAGCTGGAGCTCAGCCAAACAAGCAGCCCACGTATTTAGCAACATACAATAGAATCAAACAGTGATTTGAGTTTAAATCAAATCAACCTCCAGACTCGAAACAAGCTCTACAGCTCCATTAAACTCTGAAATCCCCCAAAAAATGTAAAAAAAATGAATTGAGATTGAAACCAGCTTTGTAACCTTGAATTTCAGATCCGAATACTGTAATTTCCAGCTGTTACTAGAGACTTAGGCGTGTGTGAAAGGGAGGAATGTGTACGAGTGAGAGAGATGAATGTGTGCAGATGTGGGAGCATTTTCCATTGGTGCGGCTACGGTTTTTTTTTTTATTTTAGGGAGGGGGTCTGTTCTCTGACCAGAAGGGGAAAGGGGTCGCTTTTGTTAGAGATGAAGAAGAGACGACGTAGTTTTTATACCAAACACGTCGTTTGGACTAACTTGTAGGCAAATTCCTGGACCGGGGATTGGGTTGGGGCGGAATGTGACAAAGATTGGGCTTAAAACAATGGCCCAGTACTTTTAGCTTAGCAGCCCTTCTCCTTCTTTTCCTTCTTTATTAGACATTTGCACAATTAGCCACTTTAGACTCAAATTTTAATTAAATCCAATTTGTACGGCTAAACTATTTATATATTTTACCTACTGATTTACTAATGATCAAATTAATTAACTAGCCTAAGAATGTATTTTTTTGTGATTTTTAAATATTTAAATAATGCATTTAACAATGTAATTAAATCCCAAAATGTAATTAGAATGCAATGNAATAATGCAATTAATCTAAAAATGCAAACAAAAAAGGAGAAATCTTTAGAATTTTTACAAAAATTAAAATAATTGAAAAAATCTATTTTTTGAGTCTTTTAGGAGTGATTTATACTTTGGAAAAAAGTTGCGTACTCACACTCCCAAGATTTCATAAAGAATATGAACAGAGTACAGAACTAGCACAAAACCGATTTTTGCATCTTTAGATCATTTTATAATTTCTCGTGAAGCTAATATACTACTATATTTACCCCACATAATATATAAATGTATCACTAGCATACAAAAAGAACAAGCTAATTTGGATTATGGATCAAATCGGGTTGAGGTGGAAATGGGTGCAAATTGGGCCCATTTAAGCTTACGTGGCATTATTACTAGATTTTTTAATTCAATTTAATGTCATGTTAGTTTTTTGTAGGATATTTTATAGGTTTTGAACTAAAAATACTTTCATGTTATAAAGGTAAAGTTAAGTGATCTTTAAATGATACAAAGTAGATACGTGACTTTTGTAAAATAGAAAATTAATTGAATGACCTTCGGTGAAATTAACCATAGGTATTAGAATAACTGTATAGATAAAATTTCAAAGACTAAACTGCTTCAACTCTTTTGATCTTAGTATTTAATTGTTCAATGCGTAGAGACACCCTTCTAAAAGCAGTGACATACAACACCATTTTCGACCATGGAAGAACAACTTGCAAATTTGACCAAAACACTTTGAGAAGTTGACCAAGTATATGTAGGATCAAGATACTCGCCTCGAAAAGTTAGCAAGTGAGATCGAGAACTTAGCATAAGCAAAATCAATTCAAGCACCTATGGAGCTTTCTGGAGATAAAGAAGGGAAGGAATCCGGTGCAAGGCAAACAATCGTGGTCAAAGAGATCCAAGTTTCTTCAGAAGGTCTAATTCATGTTGATCAATTGAAGGACTTCATCATGGAGACAATTGAAGATAACATTGATCCTTCAATTAAATCTTCCCTCACATATGCAAAGTCATGCACACAACAGATTGATAACTTGAAGATGACTACTCGATATCAATCTCTTAAGCTTCAAAAATTTGATGGAAAAGGAAATCCAAAGCAACATGTGGCGCATTTCGCTGAGACATACAATAATGCTGGGACTTATGGTGATCATATTGTCAAATAGTTTGTTCGTTCTCTCAAAGGTAATGCATTCGATTAGTATACATATCTTGAACCTGGTTATATTGATAGTTGGTAGCAGTTGGAGAAAGAGTTTCTCAATCGTTTCTATAGCAAATGACACATCATAAGCATGATCGAACTTACAAACACTCACCAAGGAAAGGATGAGCCAGTTATTGACTTCATCAACCGCTGGAGGAGCTTAAGCCTCAACTACAAAGATCACCTTAGCGAGACTTCTAGCACCTTAGCGAGACTTCTAGCATCGAAATATGCATTCAAGGCATGCATTGGAGTCTTCGTTATATCTTACAAGGCATAAAGCCCAACACATCTGAAGAATTAGCAACACGTGCACATGATATGGAATTGAGAATGGCTGCAAGTGGAGATCAAAGGTTTCCTGGCTTTGAGCCTCATGATGAAATAGAAGTAGAGGATGCTGAGAATGGGGGCAAGTATTCATCCGAATATGAAGCTGAAGAGTCCATGTATATTGCAACACTCCTTAATGCACGAGCCTAAACTGCAAGTTATAATGATCCTCAACGCACGAGCCTAAACTGCAAGTTGTAATACTTCTTGGCACATGAGTGTGTATTATATGTCATGAAGCTCCCCAATTTTGAACTAAATCTTTACGACGTAAAGCTCTTCAAATTCAAGCAAAGTCTTCAAGTTACAAAGCACTTCAAATTCGAGCAAAGACTCAAGTCGAAAGCTTTTCAAAGTCGAGCAAAGACTTCAAGTCACAAAGCTTTTCAAATTAGAGCCAAACTTGAAGACGTAAAGCTCTTAAAATTCGAGCAAAGTCTTCAAGTTGTAAATCTCTTCAAATTCGAGCAAAGACTCAAGTCGAAAGCTCTTCAAAATCGAGCAAAGACTTCAAGATGCAAAACTTTTCAAATTAGAGTCAAACTTTAAGACATAAGGCTTTTAAAATTTGAGCAAAGTTTTCAAGTTGTAAAGCTCTTCAAATTCGAGCAAACTGTTCAAGCTGCAAAGCTCTTCAGCTGTGAGCTAAATCATTAAGTAATAAAGCTCTTGAAATTCGAGCGGAACTTCAAACTGTAAGTTAAATCTTCAAGCTGCAACGCTTCTCGACGTACGAGCCTAAACTGCATGTCATGAATCTCTTCACATTTGAGCAAAATCTTCAAGTCGCAAAGCTCCCTAAAATATGAGCTTAAACTGCAAGTTACTTAACGCAAGAGCATAAACTGCATGTTACTCATGGCCAGCAAGAGTATAAACTGTGTATGGCCCAAAAACAAAAGTCCGTTAGGTCGAAGACCTCCAAAGAGGCAGCCTAGAAAAAAGTTAGGATATTAAAAAAGTAAAAAAAAATACACAAATTCTGAACTACGTTATGACTTGATCCTCTTCTCCGAGGCACGTAGGCAACTTAGAGTTTCATTCTAAGTTCAGTCGCATAAGTTCAAAAGATACATATTGCCCCAACTGTTGTCCGAGTAAAGTATGAAGGAATGTAAAATCAAGCTGAAACGTCCTCCTCCTATTGAACTTTGGATCTCATTTGATTTAAAGGGGGCAACCCTTCATGGTAAATTAGTATCTTCAATGGGACGATTTTAGAAAGATGCCAAGTATTTTTATTGAAGCCCAGGGATTCTCTATGTCTTCAGGTTCGCCAAACCTTCAAGTTTTTTTGGTCTCCAAATCCGCCCTCTGCCCTAGAAAAAAAGAAAAGAGAAGAGAGGCGTCAAAAGAGAACACAAGTATAAGAAGAAAGATTGTTTGGCACAACATTTCAAATTTAGTAAGACTTGAACCCAAGATATTTGTGAGAATGAAGCTCTTGAATTTCGATTGATGGCAATTAAAACGTCTTCCGATCTCGAGGTTTCCATATCAAGATACAAAATTTTTGGTGAAGTCGCGCAAATCTGAAATCGCCAGCGTGTCATAATTGTACGTTGACTTTGAAATATTATTGGAAACTATCCTTAATGTATTAAATTTTTAATTTTGTATATGGTTTATATTTTGAAGTTTAGTTTTCGAAAAATCAAACGGTTCATAATTTTGATGTTTCTACCCCAAGATATGATTATTTTGGTGAGACTGCGCAAATCCGGAATTGACAGCGTGGTGTAATATAAGTTGATTTCAAAATATTATCTAAGACGATTCTGAAGTTGTTTGATCAATAATTTCGGGTATGTTCTAGATTTTGAAGTTTAGTTTTCAATAAATCAAACGGTTCATAATTTCGATGTTCCTAGCCTAACATATGATTTTCTGTATCTAGAGTGCGCAAATCTGGAAATCAAGTGCGGCAGATGTTTGTAGCAACTTTAAAATATTGAGGTGGACGTTCTGAAAGGATTTTTGCCATGGTATTTATATATATTGTGTGTTGCGGAGTTTCTTTCCAACAGTATAGATGGATCGCAATTCCGACACCCGAAACTCGAGATATGAATTTCTCAGCAAGAGTGCACAAAGCTGAAACGCATTAAGGAAGACATTAGGAGCGACTTCAAAATAATGTTGCGGCCAATCTAAAAGGAGTTCTACCACAATATTTTCAGGTGTTGCAGGTTTCAAACCATTCTTTCCGAGGTCACAGATGGCTCACGATTTGGACGTTCATAATTTGAGATATGTACTTTTCAATGACAACATGCAGTGCTGTGAAGTCTAAATGACAGACTTGCGCATCGCCTTCGAGAGTTCATTCCGACTTGTCGTGGTTGAATTTTATTCCAGTTGTCTTCCTGGCCAGCCTGCAACGATGCGATGTGGTATATGTTGCGCTCGCTAATGATGAAATATGGTCTCTCTGAGCCTCCAAGAGTAGGGATTTAGTCGCCGAGGTTGAAAAGACACTTTATGTGTATCTCTCGCCAGGCCGCAACAAAGAGACAAGTGTTTCGCTGCAAATCATATAGGCATCTCGTTTCCTTAGGGATATCAAAGACCGTTGGTACTCTCGCAAAAGCCTGCAAAAGAAATATATTTTGGAAATTCTCGATGCCAACAACACGAAGTTTCGGCGGATACGATGTCAATAGCACGACGATTCAGCAGCATGACGCTTCAGTTTGACATAAAAAAACATCGGAAGCAGCACAACAGTCTAGTTCAGCATGGCAGGTATCGGTGCCCAGAGCACGAAGCGGCAAAATTTTGGTCTTGAACAGCGATCTCCATTGCTCAAAGTTTGCAAATTTGGCTTCTCGTGCTGGTGGATGGAGTCGTTCAATATGGATTAATTCTGAATAAAGAAGCAATGCAAAGCACATGTAGAAACAAGTTAAAATTGTTAGCTCTAAAAAAAACGGACAATTTAAATAAATGTTGATTTGCCGAAAAGAAAATCTGTCAAGCTTGGTGTCTTTCAGTTCTTTGTGGCAAAAGCTCGTAAAAGTGCTACTGATTTAATTTTCTACCCTCGACCCAAGGTTGAATG